CGGGAATGAGGGGATCTGATTTTCTATGTGTTTGTTTCTTCAGCATCTAGTTTTGTATTTACAAGCATGATTCTGGTACTTATGTGAACTATATAGTTTGGTATGATTTATTGAGCTACTAAAATGGACAGAGTATGAGGGAGGCAGTCAGGTGACCTATGCCACAGCCTTGGCCTGACTGGCGCAGCTAGGGAATGAAGGAAAGACAAACACCAGACACAGAAAAGCTGGGTTCCCAGAGTCAGTAATGTGCACTCTCAGGTGGAGAAGCTGCAACACCCAGAAGATCTGTTTAAGATACACAGGTAACAGGGTGGTGGGTTATTGCGAGCAGCTGAACAAGGAGGCTGCTTCATCTAATCTTCATAGGAGCAGTCTTAGGGCCACAAACATCCAGGAGAAAGCTAAGATGGGCATTTTCTCCATACACTGTCAACATTCTCGTACAGACCCATCCCTCTGAGCATCACCTAGTGAAGGCTTTGCCATTGCCATAGGAATGAGGCACTGGAGTCCCTGACATAGTGATGCTCATGTCAACACACATTCACTCAGGAATGTACTCTCTTCCTACAGATATGTATCAGGTAAATAAAGAGTTAAGGATCTTTTTGTCAACTTGTTATTCGTTTTGTGTGTTTTGTTTAAAAACTCCGGGGCTGGAGAGATGATTCAGTCATTAAAGGCCAGGCTCACAACCAAAAATATAAAAACAATTCTCTGTGAAAGAACATGTGTGTATTAGTGACAAACAATGAGATGAAAAGGCTACTGAATGAGTTGTGCAAACCTTTATTTTAATGTTGCATGGACAGAGAGAAGCACCAATTTGTTGAAGAGGAATAGGAAGATATAGCTTTTGCCTGTGAGCAGCAGAACCATAAAGTGAACTGACATTAGATACCGTCCTGGTAGGCCCTCCAGATTCCAATCTGCAGAAAACCAGCTTCTAAGTGGAGTCTAGGGCCCTGTGAACATGCCCTGACCTTTTCCTGGGTGAGAAGGATGTTTGCACCCAAGCCGAAAGGAAGTCTATTTGGAGTGCTGCACCTAAGTGGTCCCACCCCAGTGTCGGAGACAGGCAGACTGCAGTCACAATGGTTACTTTTGGATCCTTGGAAAATTGTGTGTGCTTCATTGAACCTAGCATGCTTGCACCATTCCTTGCCCCTGGTACACAATGCAAATAAGGAGAAAATGTGTCCGGTACCCGGTACCCAAAACAGAGGATTTTCTTATTTAGTGCACTGCTTCCAGAATTCCGGAGCCCCGGGGAATGATTTCAGAGTTTGTGTTTCCCTTGCTTTTGCTCTTTGCAGTTTCTCATTCTGTCAAGCATCAACACAAAACTACTTTCCCTCTTGATCTCTGCCTCGCTCATACCCTTCCTTCTTGTGTGACCCGTCTCCCATGTGGACAGGAGTCCTGCATTGGTGTAGCCACCATCTTCAGTTCCAGGCAGGGGCTATGTCACAAGCACAGGTGCCTTGTGGGAGGGGAGAGGGAGTAAGACCCAGAGGCCCAGAGGAGGATGTGGGATGTAAGAAAGGCCACTTGACCTGGGCCTGAGGGATTAGGATTTGGGTCAAGAAAGGACAGTCGCAGCTGTGTGCTGGCAGTGACATAGAATCTCTTTATGGAGGAGAGCATTTGAAGAGGGGCTCACAGTGATAGTGTGTATGTGCATCAGGCTGTCAAGCTGTGATGCCAGGCTAGGACTAGTAGGTGTGTTAGCCTGTGGCTACCATTACAGTTGTGTGTTAGGTGTTAGATTGCATTACAAAGTAGTGCAATTATAGATATGATAAGGGGTGAGAACTCTCCTTGTGACTTTAACAACCATAGGAAGGAGATTTCTGGCCACACTATCCTGCTGCAGTGTGAATAAAGGCCTCCAGCTGAGTACTATAATGTAGGCTAGGAAAACCATGTCTATGTGGTGGCTTCATAGAATCTCTATACCTCTGGTTAAGCACGTGGTCTTTCTCTGCGACCCCAAAAGTAAGAAAGGCCAGGCAGACTCCCACCCTAGCAAGCACCTTCCATCTTTTCTGCCCCATTCCAGCTTTCAAAGCTACATGGCTCGGTTCAGAGGAACACACAAGGAAGACTCCTGGGCTAGGTGGAGGCCTGTTCATCCAGTTAATGCAGAATAATGAAACCTGAACTGGATCCTAAGAAAAGAGGACTGTGAGGGTATGCCACCCCACAGGCTGCTTTGTCTTCAGAGTGAACAAAAACTCAGTATTTTCATCATTGATCTTACACCCCTCATACATTGCTTTTTGTTTTTCTCCTTGAACTTTCCTGCCCTTACAAACTACAGAAAGCAAGAACTACATGCCTCCTGGGACATGCTGTTCCCTCCGAGGTTGGGTTCCTGAGCAGAATCAATTATTCCTCATGCTCTGCACTTGTTCTGCGTTGTGAGTGAGGCTGTGAAAATCAAAGGCAGTGCACTTAGGATTTAGCTCTGCTACAATACAGAGCATTTGCTCCTGGGAATGGGGCATATAGGGATTTTCCTTGAGGAGTGAAATCCTGAAATAAACCCCTTACCTCTTGGGAGAGGGAAAGGAGAGCTAGCACTGTTAGAATGTTACTGGGGAACACATGCAGTGATCGTGTATTACAGCTCTTTTTGTAAAGGTGAGCTGGCCTAGTGCTCCTTCCCCTGTTGCCAAGGGACAGCCTCCCAGTATTCAAGGCCCAATCAGTCGCAGATGGCACCCCTTGTGTGCTTCAGCAGGACGGGTTCCTGAGCAGGCTCTGCTGTCAGTGTGGCCTAAGAGCAGTAGACCTGAGTAGAGTTACTACTCTAAGCAGGTCATCTCAGGGGCCCAGTGCTGGCCAGGCCCAGGAGAACTTGTCCTAGCAGCCCTCCTGGTGGCTTGCTATGGGACTGTCTCCATAGACCCACTGGAACCTGGGGACTCAGCTCACACTTGAGGGAGACATCTGGTGCTCCCTTTGTCAGCCCAGGGTCTAGCTGCCTGCCTTCAAGGGATGCAGAGCAGGAAACACCCAGTACAGACTCTTCCATGGGAGCCCAGCAGTCCCCCCTGGACAAGTGAGTCTTTCTGATGAATGGGCTTACCCATACTCACGAAGGGCTATATTCACCCTTTAGATGGTGCTCCTTTAAAAGCCACAGGACAGCTTGTTGGAACTTCTCCACAGGCAATCTCTTCACCCAGGGCATTACTCCCTCCTCATCCCACTCTAGTTCTCGGGGCCACTTTTCTCTAGTCTTGAAAACTTCAGTCCATAAAATCTGAGGTTTCGGCCAAGTCCTAGTATCTCAGAGAATATAAACTCCAGGTATTAAAATTTAAGGCAGGCACATTGGCACATGCCTACCAATCCCGGCACTCAGGGAGCTGAAGCCAGAAGATCCTGAGTTTGAGTCCAACCTGTACTAAACAGCAAGACTGAAAAAAGAAGGGAAGGAAGGAGGGAGGGAGAAGGAAAGAAAGACAGAAAAGAAAAGAAAGGATTTACACTGCTGTGTTAACCAGTAAAAGACATGTAGATAATAAAATGTGTTAAACGGCATGTGGGTCATTTATGTGAAAGAGAAATGTATGCAATGAAATGAATGCTTGCTTGAGCCGTAAAGTATTGCTTCATCGATGCGTATATAGAATTGCTTAATTGCGTGGGTATGATGTATAGTCCTTCAATCCCAGCACCATTGAGGCAGAGGCAGGTGGATCTCTAAGTTTGAAGCCAGCCTGGTCTACTTAATTTCCAGACCAGCCAGGGCTGTATAATAGACCCTTTCTCAAAAAAAGAAAAAAAGAAGAAGCCTAAATAAATTAACCATTTAAATTACTTATTGGGGGGCTACTGAGGTGGCTCAGAGGATTAAGGGTGCTTGCCGCCAACCTTTCCACCACACAGTGTAAAGTGTTGTCCCTGACCTCTAACGTGAGCTGTGCGATGGCATGTGGACACGTGTGCACACACACACTAGTGTAAGAGCAGAAGCTGGTTGAGAAAGAAGCTGTAGGGCTCTGCACTGTTTTGCTGATGTGTATGAGGGGTGACTTGACTCCATTAGCATTTTTGTTTATGCAAATATGCTGGCTTAATTTCTTCAGAAACCATTAGGGTTTCTGGTGCCAAACTAAGCTTGAAAGTATTGCCCTGGGTAAACACACAAGTGCTGAGGAAGAAATACTATATTTTTTTGCCAGGCAGGGTGATAACACACCTTTAAATCCAACATTGTGGAAGCAGAAACAGGTAGATCTTTGTGAGTTCAAGGCAGTACAGTCTACATAGTTCCAGGCTAGCCAGGGCTGCAGGTGAGAGCATGTCTTTAAAAAAATAAAAAGGATAGGTTTTTATCTCTGAGCTGTTACTTTGTTTTATACATAATTGTGTACATGGAGAAAGAGTGCACCAAAAAACAGTGATGACCCCAGCTGTGTATGTGTGCATGTACATTGTTGTGGTGGGACTCTAGATATGTCTAGGGACAACTGAGTAAGTAACTTTGATTTGAGTGTATGTACATTGTTGTAGTGGGACTCTAGATATACTTAGGGACAACTAAGTTACTTTGATTTGGATGCTTAAAGCATAGTGAAACTCCAAGTAAATATAGTTTAGAAAATACAAAGTGAAGTCTGGCATTTGTGCTTAACTCATATCTTAGGTATTTGATTATGAATGGCCATTTTTGGTGGAAATTTTTTTGCAGTATGTCACATACAGCCTTGTCATCTAGGCTCTGATTAGTTTCTTTTCAAACCTAAGAAGTTATTTCAGCAGTTATTTTTATTACTAATCTTTTCTGCTTGTCGACCTGAGAGTTGGCTTAATGAAAACAGTCGATCTGTGCCATGAATCATTTGCATATAAATCCTGACAAGTCCAACTCAGGCTTTAAAAGTCGGAAGCACACAGAAGATGGGTTGGACTTAAATCAGCCAGTTGACCAGTTATATCATCAGTAATTCACTCTTTGTTTTTCTGATTTTCTTTTTCCCCAGAACCGAATGGAGGAGAGCAAAGCACTCTTTAGAACAATTATCACATATCCCTGGTTCCAGAACTCCTCTGTTATTCTGTTCTTAAACAAGAAAGATCTTCTAGAGGAGAAAATTATGTATTCCCACCTAGTCGACTACTTCCCAGAATATGATGGTAAGTGGGCACCTTCTGCCAGCCTCACAGCTGAGAAGAATTGTGCTGTTAATACTAGTGCAGTGCCCAGAGCCATGAGCCTATGGGGGTTAGAGACAGCATGGTGCAGTACTTGGAGCCCTGGGGACCATAGAGGCTAGAAGCAGCATGGTGCAGTGCCTGGAACCTTGAGCCTGTGGGACCTAGAGGCAGCATGGCTCAGTGCCCAGAGCCACAGGGTCCATGATGGCAGGCATGATAGAATACAAATTACTGTTCCCTGACTTTTAATGATATAAAACAATTTATCCTTAATGTTAAAAGTTATGGGGAAAGCAACAAGTTCTCAGTTGTTTCAAAATAACCATCTCAGAGACTAAAAAAATTTGCTAGCTTTTTCTGTTAGCTACTGCAATTTCCAGTTTCCCTCCCATTTATTTTGTAACCCACCCCTGCCTCTTTCTGGTAAGGACCTCACCTCTGAAGTTGGTATACTGTATTAATTGATTTCTGTTGTTGGTAATGAGCAAGGAACTTAGAGAAGGTACAGTCAGTCCGTCATGAGGGGAGGCATGATGGCCAGAGGGGAGGAAAGGAGAGTACATCTTTAAAACGCACACCAAAGCAGAAAGAATCAGATGTGAAGCAAGGCTTAACGCTCAAAGCCCTCCCCCAGTGTCTTTCTTCCTACAGCAAACCACATCTATTAAACGTGTCAATACAGCACTACCAACTGGGGACCACGGGCTGAAATATCCCAGTCTATGAAGGACATTCTCGTTCAAATCCTAGTCTAGGCCCTCCCTATTTCTAGGATTGTGTTTCGAGTCCCTTGATTTTTCTGATTCTTCAAGCCATAGCTATGAGATCTGTTTTATAGGCCAGTGGAAAACAAATGGGTGACATTAATGTTGTACTTGAATATCCAGGCAGCATTTAATTTGGGAGAATTTCACTAGCAAAAGTCGTAGGATTGATGGCCGAGTGAGGTATTGGAGAGGGATGTCCCCCCTCCTTAGTGACGGATATTAAGTTAAGCACCCTTGCTGGAGCACTTAGGGTCTGCAGGGCTCTCCTGCACTTGGCCTTGCAGTTTCTACCATTAACAAGTAGATCTACCAGGGATACTGTATAGTTCTCAATGACAGGACATCACCATCCTGAGGAAAATGTGTTGACTAATTGGGTCCACATCTAGCCTCCCAGCCCTCCCAAGCAGGGCCACAGTGTTCTATAAAGCTTAAACCTGCAGTAGACAGACCAAACCAAAGGCTGCCATCTGTTGTTATGCAGAAATCATTGCAGCTCACACATTTATCTAGGACTATGTTCTCCCCATCACATCAGAAGTGAGTGGTGTGGACAGACATTAAATGATCTGCAAAGCCTAAAAGTCTTAGTCTTAGACTGTGGCCCTTTACAGAGCCAACCAAGCCATAGTCCAGACAGTACAAACTGAGTATCTCCAAGTGCTGCCCATCACTGACTGTTACCTTAAACAAATTTAACTCTGCTTAGTTTCTTCCTCCATTGATAAGGACTGATGGACTCATGGGTAAGTGACTTGGCATAATACCTAACACAGAGGAGGGCCATATCCCAAAGTACTTAGAGGATGAAAGTAATGACTACTACAAAAAGAATTAACAAAGGAGATCTAAGGCTTCTGCACCATAGTGATTTTGTCCCTCCAAAAGCTCCCTAAGAGATGTGAATCCTTGGAGATTAAAGATCCCTTTGGCTTCATAGCTTTCTATGAAGGTTTAGGTACCTTTTTGCTCTGTGTGTATTAGGTGTAGTGCTGGCTTAAGGAAGGGAAATGTGGCATGCTCAACAGCTGAAGTTTGCATCTCAGATGCATATGTATGACTGGGTACACAGCCAGCTGCTTTGAGACAGGGACGTTTTTGTTAGCAGCATGTTCATATCTCTCAAAGTACATTTTCCTGTTTGCCTGACTATTTTAATAGAACAAAAACTACTTAACCCAAACAACTTTTTCTTTTTGCTCCTTCTATTTTCTTACTAACCCAGAAGCAAATAGTAAATGCCTGAAATTGCCTCAGTGTTCCTGAGGAAGCTGTGGAATGAAATGACTTTATATGGTATACCTGCTACCCCTCAATAGCAGGCCACTCCTGTAAGCACATGGTCTGAGAACAGGAGCAAGAAATACTTTCTGAGACATAAACGTAACTACTTGCTCATACACTCAGATGGCAGGCTTAATTCCTCTGCAGAGTTGGTGAGAGCCAGTGGACAGTGAGGAAAAAAATGACTACACCATACACAGCAGTGGCTCTATGGGCCCCCTGTTGTCCTGCTTGGCTGCAAACAGATGGCAATGTGCAGCCTCAGAGTAGAGGTTCCCTGAGCCCAACTGCTCAACTACAGCCATGTGGTGGCTGGCCACACTGCAGTTCCAGGTTTTCTCAGGTAGGTTCTTGCGGGACTGCCACTTTCTGCAGTATTGTCCTGAGTCCTCATCATTCCAAGCAATTTCCTCCCGAGAGGAATTTACTATAAATGCTTTGGAATTTGAAGGTGATTTTTAACTGTTGTCCTTCTGTAATGGACATATAATATCCAAAGGAAATACGGCCACAGCTAAGTTTAAAAGGCACTGGTTTGTTCTCAGGACAACAAAGTTGTTTCATGAGATCCAAAGCCCTTGGAAGATGAGCTAAGACTGGAAAAACTCTTGAGCACACAAACAGTGATGTTTTAGTAATACACTTATTTAGATACTATCAGTTTCACAGCTGTAGATGTCTTCCTTCAAGGTCTTAATCAGATGAATGCTATCTCTGTGTTTCTCTTCAGGAAGAGAAATGACTGTTTCCACATGGACTGCAGAATTGTTCCTAGAGACTGTTATTCTGTGCCTGCTGTGATGGCTATACCCATTTCTTTGTAATCCTCTATGCTCGAATAACAGAGTTTATGCTTAAACCATAGCACACTGTGAGTGTACTTCAGTGACCTTAAATCTATTTCTGGTATTCTATATAGAATAAGCAGAACAAAAGGAAGTTGGGATCTTTTCCTTCCCAAACAGAGTAAGAATAATAGCTAGGAAAATGGCAGCCTTTTCACACCCTGCCTGTCTCTTAGTCTCTGTTTTAAATATTTGATATTGCTGTGGAACCAGTAAGTTCACAGTACATTGCTAAGGACAGAACCATGTTTCACATATGTACCATCTAAATAATGGCACATTTTTATTTTTCATGTTGGCAGCCTTAGTCACAAAAACCTCAAAACCCCTTGTTACTATTTGTACAAATGAGAGGACTCTGCTTCATAGCTATTTCTTGCAGCTCCTGGCAGTGTGGGATGTAGGTATGAGCCAAATCTGTAATGGAAATTATTTGAAAGTTTTCAGGTATCTGCCTAAGACTCAGACTATGGTCCTTAGAATTGATGGTTAGGCCTCAGCAGTAGAACAAACCCACATTGTCAATCCTGGGAGGTCTTGCCCAGGAGAAAAGAAGTGACCCTTCCTTTTACTGGTGTAAACATGCAGCATGGAGAGAAGCAGACATGCAGTGGCATGGTGCACAGGGTACCTGCTCAGCACCTGAAAGGTGATGGTGTTTTGATGTCAGTACTTTAGAAGCTTTCCACTCACACTTGCCAGAATCTGTCTAAGTATTAAACTGATATATGATGTGATTGATCCTGCACACAATTAGAAATGGTCCAGTTTTTAAATGTGATAGAATGTACAGAAAATTTAAATTAGAATTTAAACATGTAATCATGACATAATTTACATTATGAAACTCTACAGCCATTGCCAATGGATCTGCCACTCCAGCTAAGCAATAACACCCCATTGCCTGACCCCCCACTTCTCATGCCATCCCTTTACTCTAATTTTCTGTCTCTGTCGCCTATAGATAAGTCAAGTCACACAGTATTTGTCTATGTCCAGCATGTTGATTTCAGAATGTATTTTAAAAGTTTATGCGTGTTATACCATCTTTCAGGACTTCATTAACCACCTTTGGCTTACCAAAATGAGTTCAGTCACTTCTGTTTGCTGTTTGCTAATGGTACTGTACATTCACCTATGAAATGCCCTCCTTTCAGTTCATTTAGAGTGTGTCCACCTGTTACATGAATTGAATTGCTAGGTTATATGGGAATCACTGAACTATTTTCTGTAGTGGCTGTACCATTTTGTCTGCCTACCAATGGTAGACAGGGGTGCAGACTTAACCTGTTGTCAAAGGTTATTTTACCCCTTTTAAAATAATATCCAGGCTAGTAGATGGAAGACTGCCTCATGATTTCACTTGGCATTCCCTGAGTATCAGAGTTAAGCATCCTATGTGCTCATTGGTTATTTGTTACCTTCTTTTGCAAAACTATCGGTTCAAGTCTTTTGACCAGTTTTAATCAGGCTGTATACTTTCTTGTTGATATATATGAGAGCTTTATATATTCTAGGTGCTAAATCCTTATCAGATATATGAATTGTACATGTTTTTCATTTGATAATGCACTTTGATAACAAAAGCTGTTTTTTAAAATTAGAGTGTAGTTTTTTTTCTTTTACTGCTTCAGTGTTAGGAAATAATCAACTACAAATCATTATACAAGTATGCTGGTAATTTTTTTTTGTCAGCCTAACATGTGCTAGGGGCATCTTGAAAAAAAGCCTTAATTGAGAAAATTCCATCAGATTGACCTGTAAGCAAGTTCAAAGGACTTTTGTTTGTTTGTTTGTTTGTTTTGATTAATGATTGATCTAGAGATGATGCTGTCTCAGGCAGGTAGTCCTGGGATGTGTAGGAAAGTAGACTGGGCTGGGTGGTGGTGGCGCACACCTATAGTCCCAGTACTCAGAAGCATAGGCAGGCGATCTCTGTGAGTTCAAGGCCAGCCTGGTCTACAGAGCGAGTTCCAGGACAATCTCCAAAGCTACAGAGAAATCCTGTCTGGAAGAAGAAGAAGAAAGACAGGGAGGGAGGGAGGGAGGGAGGGAGGGAGGGAGGGAGGGAGGGAGGGAGGGAGGGAGGGAGGGAGGGAGGGAGGGTAAAGAAAAGAAAGAAAGCAGTCTGAGCGAGCCATGAGGAATAGGCTGGTAAATAGCACTTCCTCCATGACCTCTGCTTCAGTCTGCCTCCATTCCTGCCCAGGCCTTTATTCATAAGCTGAAATAAACCCTTTCCTCCCCAGATTATTATGGTCTTGGTGTTTATCACCACAGTAGAAAGCAAGGACAGAGAGTGGTGTAGTTTCATTTTTGTTGTATAATAAAATACCCTAACAGAAAGCAACTTAGGGGAGAAAAGGGGTGTGTGACTTGTAAGTCCCAGGTTACAGTCCATCTTTGGGGACAATCAAAGCAGGAGCTCAAGCAAGTAGTCATACTGCACCCATAGGCAAGAACAAAGAGAATAAATGCATCCTTGCTTGTTCCATGTAGCTTTCTCTTGTTGTGTAGTTCGGGACCCCATGCTGACCTGATCTAGACAATCCCTCAACTCAGATCCCTTGTGAGGAGATTCTAGACTATGACAACTTGACATTTAACACTACCCACCACAAGTTTCTAATTTATCTAAATAAAACTCTCAGGGGGCAATGGATGAGGCATGAGAAACACTGTGTAAGCATAAGAGTGCAAACCAGTGCATATCATCTCACAGTGAACTTAGCATAGATCTGGAAAACAGATCAGTCTTCATTGGGCATGACACAATATGTGCTGATTGAACAGATGAACAGACGTGTAGTGGATCACATAACAAACTTTCCTTCTCCTCTCTTGGCAAACAGGACCCCAGAGAGATGCCCAGGCAGCTCGAGAATTCATCCTGAAGATGTTCGTGGACCTGAACCCTGACAGTGACAAAATTATCTACTCCCACTTCACATGCGCCACAGACACCGAGAACATCCGCTTTGTCTTTGCTGCCGTCAAGGACACCATCCTACAGCTGAACCTGAAGGAGTACAATCTGGTCTAACTGCCTCCCAGAAACCATTCTTCCCTTCCCTGTGGGCTGTTGAAGATAACCAAGAAGGACTGTATTTCTGTGGAAAACAATTTGCATAATACTAATTTATTGCCGTCCTGGACTCTGTGAGTGTGTCCACAGAGCTGTAGTAAATATTATGATTATGATTTTATTTAAACTATTCAGAGGAAACAGAATGCTGAAGTACAGTCCCAGCTCATTTCCTCTCAGTCTTTCTCTCTCTCTCTCTCTCTCTCTCTCTCTCTCTCTCTCTCTCTCTCTCTCTCTCTCCAAACCTTGTGACTCAATGTACTTTAAATTTTCAGTTATTCACTCACAATATAAAAGCACTCGTGCCATTTTGTTCTCTCCCTCCCTCCCTCCCTCCCTCCCTCCCTCCCTCCCTCTCTCTCCATTCCTTTCCTTCTCCCTCATCCCCTTTCCTATTGACCAAAACACAGCTGATTTTTCTTCTTCCTGCTCCATACCTCCCTGCTGATTTTTTTTTCTCTCATATTACAATGGCCTTTACCCTAGTTCCATTCTTGGTCAAGTTTCTTTCTCGAGTGATGCAGTCAGGACAGTGTCATTCGATTGAAGTCGTCTTACATTAGCTTCATTTAACAGTGGTTATGCTGAAGGCGTGTATTACTACTATGATTTTAAATGTATCTCTGGATGCACATCACATCTAGTATTTCTTTTTCAATACATACATATATGTGTAATATATATATATATATATATATATTGTCTTGTCTCACTTGGACTAGGACAGTGGGTGCCCATTGATGATTAAGAGTCATATATTTTGGATGCAGACCTCCAGCCATAGCTGGGTTGGTCAGAGGATGCCTGGAAGTCAGAGTGTGTGGGTACAGGCTGTAAAGGGGTCCTTACTTCTACAATCCGTGTGCCATGTCCTTCCTCTCTTCTTGCTCCCTTTTATTTCTCTTTAGGTTCTTTACCCTCTGTAAACCACAGATGCCAAATGATATGCCAACAGACACTACATTCCCCAGCAGCTGCTGCCAGAGCCCTCTTGTAGCTTCTTCATTTTCTGTTTGTTTCCAGTTTTCTTTCCCTCCTGCCCACTTTGTGTTTGGGCCATAATTTTAAGATAATTTTTGCTATGGGTATGTGTTGCCAAAGCCAGATTTTTATAAGACAAAATAAATTAATTTAAACAGTAAAAGCCAGTGTCTCAAAATGTAAGCATTAAGACAGCACAGTGAGATGAGAGCGGGGTGTGCACCGGAAGCATGCATTGCCAAACAGTTGCTAACTGAACTGCTGCTCATGGTCCGTTCTTTCCTTTGCCCTTTAAGGTCAGTGCCAGTGTCCAGATGAGCAGTATAGAAAATACCCTTTGTGGTCTGTAGTGAGATCTGCTCATATCTCTCTACTGGCACCAGTGTTATTAGCTCTTTATGTTCTTTCAGTTTGAGTGAGTCTGCCAAGAACACTGGTTGATAGCATTATCCTATAACCTTTGATTTGAAAAAAAAAAAAAAGTGAGCTTGTTTTACCACTTTCGGGTTCTTCTTGAACTGGTCACTTGAACTTAAGGAAGATTTGTGGATTTACCCAAAAGTCACCACTCAGTGTTCTGTCAAGCATATATTTATGCAATGATCATACTAGGAGAGATGTTTGGAATTCTCCATGTGCAATTTGTCAGCAGATGCAAACAGTGCTGCACATGTGTGAGTGAGCCTGTCAAGCAGCCCACATTGCTATGTGATTTAAGTAGATCACGATTGCTCTGAGGCTGCCGGGAAGTTAGGCCACAATGCTAGTCTCATTAGTGCGTGGCACTAAGTCTAAACTTCCATATCAATCACTTTTCTTGAATAACAAAGGGGGGTGAGAGTGAACAGCTTACTATATGAGCACTGAAATTGCTGACTCGTAATGAAGTGTTCTCATGCTTTCCTCTCCCGTCCCCAAACAACACAGCTTACTTTTTTATCCCTTGCTCTAGAAAGCACCTGTAATTTAATTAACAGACTGCCTGTAGGTATAGTGCAATTCTGAATGTTCTGATCGTTGTACATACATCTCTCTTGATATTGCAGCATCCATACTGGCTTTGTAATCATTAATTTTTTGGCAGGTTGAATGTGCTGTATTGATATGTATCTATGTAATTGTATTGTATGTCTTGTAGCTAATTCACATTTTGAATAATGTTATTTTATTTACTTTTTTAAGAGAGGAGAATGTAAATTTGTCAGTTTATTTCTGACTAGGGATATTTTTTTCCATTTAGAAAAGAAGAAAAAAAAACCCTTACTATCTATCGTACAGAGCGGTACTAGCATCGTGCTGTCTAAAATCATTTGCACATTCCTGAGTAGAGGTGTGCTGACCTAAGACCCAAAGGTAATTTCATAGCAAATACACAACATCCGTCAGAGCTTTTATACAAACACGGAGACCAACTTTGTAGACCTTTTGCCATTTGACCTGGGGTTGGAATATGAGCTTTTATACGATTCATATTCTTATTTGGCAAATGCACAGTTTAGCATTACCTCTCTGGTGGCCTTTATTAGAAAGGCAGTTTTAGAAGCTATTGTGATCCACTAAGGAGATGTTTTATCAGCTAGCAATCACTGCTTGCCTGAAAGGGCAACCTTAAATTTGGTGCAGCAAAAACAAACAAACAAAAAAAAACAAAACAAAAAAAGAAAAAAAAGAAAAAGGCAGAAAAAGAAAAAAGTAACATTTGATGGCCTACAGTGTATAGAGAAAACCTCATCAGGATCGTAAGTGTTACCAGTCCTAGGGGACCATGCTGTTCATTTAACAGAGCCGTAGTAGATGTAGTTGAGTCATCCTGATCTCAAGCTCAGAGCTGCTGAGCAAAGCAGGGGAAGGCCGCCACCGCCGCGTTGTCTTTGTGAATTGGAGATGGAGCTTGCTATGCAGAATTGAAGTTTGTGGCTTCACTGCTCATCCTGGGGTGCATGACAGGATCCCTTCTTTTGAGAAAGGAAAACATTGATCACCCTAGTCACAGTGATGCCTAGACACCTAATTGTGTCCATACTAGTCAATGAAGCTAAAAATAATTTCTGTTGTTGTTTCTTGTTTGGGGTTTTGTTGAAGGGTGAGGGGCGGGAAGGGCTTCTCAGTTTTGTACAAAAACAAAGTTTACTCATGCTCTCTCTTCTATTGTTATTGCAAGCGCTCTAAGCTGTGCCACTGACTCCTGTTGATGCTCTAGACAGTGGAGGCTTGTTATGAGTTTTATGGTGACTTGGGCATGTCTTATTCAGAAGCAAAACACAGAACACAGAAACCTTTCCTCACCAGACCAAGGCGAGCACCCATCTCATGAGTCACTCAGCACATCCCAGTGTGCCGTTTACAGATGATGTCACCCACAGGAAATTCCTAGTTGTAAATTGGAGAGTTATATTATGCCTTACAGAGCTTAATTCAGAAGTCTGTGCCTCATATCTGAAATAAAGGGAAAAAACAGGCCCACAAAAAAGTCAGTAAGTCCTGTAGAATCTGTTGGGTTTCCTTAGGAAGAGCTCTGTTGAACGTCCTGAGTAGCTGGCAAATTCTTCTTAGGAGCCTGCATATGTCGTTTACTGGCAGGTGGCATCTGCAGGCGACATGTAAAGAAAACCTGGAACATGGGGGCTTGGGGTTTTGTTTTTGTTTGTTTAATTTAGATTACATTAGCAGGCCTAATAGTTTTAAAAGGTAATTCAGCCAAAGGGCAATTTACTTTTTGTACTTCAGACTTATATTGATTGTCAAGTTGTACGAATTGTAATTTAAAAATTTATACTGCCACATGATTGTAAATTTTAGTTGTCTTAAGTGGGAGTTGGTGAAAAGCTGTTTATGCTGGATTTGGGTCAAAATGACTTGATTATTTGCAAAAAAAATAAAATAATAATGGGAAGAAAGGGCTGCATAATAAGATACTGCAAGACTCAGATCTTGGTTGGAAATTCCTCAGATCCCTTCAGATGAACCCCGATGCCCCTTTGTTTTCAGTTTCTCAAAAGAACGAATGAAGTAAAATATAGCAGAGTGTTAACCCATATAAAAATAAAGTGTACCCAAATATTGTAATGTATATTGCTGCTCTTCTTAAAATTAAATAAGGGTTTCAAGCCACTCGAGTGGTAATTAACAGCACCTCAATTGATACAAATAAGGTATGCTTGGGCGTACATTAATATTTTATTCCAAAGAGAAATCTTTGGTTAGAAACACAAAAATGGAAGCTAACGATGTGTGTTTATCTGTCTTTGCACACTTCCAGCATATGCAGCGTTACTAGATGCCCTGGCACTTGTATCTTTGGGACTCCACTTGGGTTCTAGACAACAAGGAGAAATAAACGGCTTAGTAGTGTGGGATGCGGCAGAGGTTTGGGAAGCCAGACACGTGCCATTTCACAGATAGCTTGCTGAGCCTCTCCATCTGTCTTTCTCACAATATGCTGTCTCCTGCTATGTCCCCGCCACCACCACCCTTCCATTGTGTTCTTGCTTCTAGAATCATCTGTTCAGAGTAAGCATACACACCTGATGCGCAGTAGGTGCTCAGGCATTATGTACCTCCTTTTCACATCTGCCATGGAGCTTCCATTGCCATAAAATTTGAACCCAATGATTAATAACATTTACATGTTACAAAAACAGCTCTTTTGTAAAATTGGATCTTGCATAGATAAAGGAATTCTGGCTTTCAGAGAAGCCTTGATAGGAAGAAAATACAGGAAGGGAGATCGTTCGTTGAGCTATTTCTAGGGTTAGGAAAGAAAATGGAAAAACACTGTGTAAGTTTGTCCAGGTCACTTTCATTGAAACACATTTCTGGCGGATATCCTCAAAGGACTGTAATTGCAGCCTCTGGCTGGACACTCCGCATCCACCCTCATGTTGGAAGCCCTGACTAGATCTGTGTACTTAGGGAGTTTTGTCAAAACCATTTTTAACTTGCAGTATTTAAAAAATCATATTTACTGTTCTTAAAATGTCATTCAAATGCATGTATTGTCTATTGTTTGGGGGTGGGAACTAGTTTTGCAAAAAAAAAACAAAACACCTAATGTTGTATAATAATGCCCCAATGATCTTACTGGTTAAAAATACAGTATTTTTGGCCATACTTTTGTATTACAGTATTCTTCATTCTGAGTTTTGCTTCCCCTGAAGTTGCCTAAGCCCCTCTAAGAATGCTGCTTATTATAAAGAGAATTGGAACACATCTTCACTTCCTTAACAGACTTCATAGGTCACATGTGTCTTTCCAAGTAGGTGGATTTCATGGTTCCTGAGGCACATACAATCTTTTCCCATTTGAGTATAATCAGAAATGTAGACCCTATAGTGCAGGTATGTCTTGGTAGAACTTACCAGATATGTTCTGCAAAACCTGGCTCTTGGTTAATTGTGATCTGCTGTTTGAGAACGTGAGTAGCTGTTCAGTACAGGCTTCTGCAAAGTGATTTAGCCTCATCCTGTCAGGCAAGCTTTGCATGAGTAAAAGCAACCCTCACCCTTGCCCTGGATTCTTAGGCATCACAAAGTCCTGGCATGAGAGTTCTGCTGTATCTGGATGCTGGCAGTAAGCATGTACTCCATACGGTGAAAAGGACCTAGCACAGATATCCTTTGGGTCTATGATGTCAGTAACCTCAAACATCTAAGTCTTTGAGGTCTACTGAGAACTAGCTTTTCTTCCTCTGGATTTTTTTTTTTAAGTACAGGTGGTGATGGCAAGTTCTAGAAAATAGGTGCTTAGGTGTGGACTGCCACACACAGTGAAAGCCAAACCCACTCCTGCTGTGACCATATCTCCTCAGTCCATGTTAAAGAACAACTATGGTATATTCAGTAGGTATGCTGAGCAATTTCTGATGTTAAATTGCCCAGCTCCTTGCTTTTCTGTATAATTCTAAGTCATCACCTTAGCAATCTGTTCACTTGTAGTGAAGGGTGAGTTTCAAGTTAATTTTAATTGTTAATTGTTAAGAAAAAGTGATCTAGATATTTCAACCTTGTTTTCCTTCCATGTTGAGGAAACTGGCACTCCTTTCCACTGTCTACCAACCCCATGATACTAACTAGTTACCTAGATATTGGCATCCCTTTGTTTCATTGTCATAGCTAATAAAAAAAAAAAAGCACTGACTTCAACTACTAGAAAGCATTAAGCACAGTCCATTTGAACAGATCCCTGCCCCCAAGAGGTCCCTGAAAAACTAGGCCCTCATTATAAACTGTATCTTTAAAATCCATGTTGCCTAGGAAAAAGTGAAAAGATGTTAGTTTTCATGCCTCAAGACTATTGAAACTTGATCTGTGTTCACATCCTTACTTCCTCAAGAATGCAGTTCAAAAGCCAGAATATTTTTCTGCCTCTTGAACCTGAGGATCAAAATCAGTCAAATCATCCTCTGTAACTGAGAAGGTAATTGTGGTGAACATGTTAACAGAAGTTAGTAGTCTGTTCTGTCCCTGCTTCAGTGTCCTCTGCAGCTCTGTAGGTGTTTTTGCTACTTAGTTGACAGGACCTGACCAGGAGATAGACTTGTGACTGCCTAATCCCAATTAGCCCAAATATGTGTATAGTACATCTTTCAAGCATCTTCAGAGGTGAAAGGACCAGGACAAGACACTTGTGGGCAAGTGAAACTTGTCAAACTCTTGCTATCTGCAAGTGGGGCCTCCACACTGTGCTCTGTGCCAGTGGCCAGGAAGCTAGTGCATCCAAGAAGATGCTGTCCGCAGGAGGTCCAGTTAGAGGCACACCAGAGGTGCAGGTCCATGTCAGGGCTGGAGTATCGATGGTTATTCTGGGACCAGAGCTACCCTAACAAGGGTGTCCTGCTTCCTTTTTTCAAGGTATGGGAGGCCCATTCCTGGGATGTTCTGCTAGACAGTTAACAATGGACGCAAGCCTACTGAGTCTTGCTGATTCAGCCACACCCAATTTTACCTACCAGTGTGACAGAGACACTAACTCTTGGCTCTCTTTGGCTGCACCTGTGTGCCACTGTCAAGCCCTTTAGCCAAAGCCAAAATTTTTGTGAACCTGGAGAAGGTCCATAGGCCAGGCTACCTGGCTTCCTCTTCATCACTCCCTGTGTCAGAGCACTAACTACCAAGAAGCAAATTTGTGCACTATTCTGGATGGGCAGCCGTACTAGAAACACTAAATATTTAGACTAAGGAACAGCAAGAATGGATAAGCAGGTACTTGAGGCTGGGCAGGAGGAATGAAAATTAGTGTGTGTGTGTACATACCTAAGCAGATAAGTCATTGCCTGTGAAGCAAAGAAGGCCATAGAGAGTTGATGTTAGTTGGTGTAGGACATTGATCCTAAGTCTTAAAAAAACATGATCTTTATGAAGTCGGTATACATGAAGGCTCTAACCATGATTTTCTCATAATGTGTGCACATACATGTACAGAGGGAGGTTTGTTTACCCCTGTGGGTGCGAGGAGTATTTTGACTCAGAGAGTAACCCTGCATTTTGACACAATTGCCACAGGAAAGAATGATAAAGCAAGCACAACTGACAACTCCTTAAACTTTGTCTTCCCAGTCTTTCCTGGTGTCATCTTTTCAAAACTGACCCCTGGTTTGGGAAAGAACACTAATTACAGCAAATTTTAAAATAGCTTTAACTTCTAAATTTTCTTTTGTTGCAGTGCAGGGGATCGAACTCAGGGTCTTGCCTTTGCTAGGCAGGTGCTCTAGCTCTCAGCTACATTCCTGGCTCCACAAAAAGCTTATTAAAAGGGGGTGAATATACATAAGTGGGACTTCTATGGCTGAGGGATGAGGAGGTGTAGATGTAACAGAGACAGTTTGGAAAAGTTCTGAAAAAAATACATAAAAAGAAGCTGTTTGCAAAGGCCAGGCCTGCAGATATTGGGTGCACACTAAGTGCTGTTTTCATTCCTAATAAAAAGCTGTAGACTGCTTAACTTTCCACTAGAAAAGGTGAATTTCTAGAATGCCATCTGTACTCCTTACAAGTGTTTGTACAGAACATGAACACTACACAATTTGGGGGTTGTGTTTTTGGATTATTTTTTCCTCTCAGCCCCAAAGACAGGGTTTTATGTGTAACCGCTCTATCTGTCCTGGAACTGGCTCTGTAGACTAGGCTGGCATGCCTCTGCCTCCCAGCTGGGATTAAAAGTGTGTACCCCACTGCCTGGCTATGTTTTTGGATTATTTTGAAAACTGCTGAGGGAGCCAGCCTTTACATATACAATGGTACATGCTGTAGGTTGTTACAAACAGTCCTTCTAGGACCTGTCTATATTCTTCTAGCATTTAAAAATCACAATCCAGAAACTAGAATTAACCTCAAGAACTATCAGGGTCAATTGAATGATGAACTGGTCAGAGTGAAGGCTAAAAAAATACTTTGCCTTGAATGAGCTCCCAACTATAGTGCAAGGTTATGATCTAAGTTACTGTCTGGGCCCCCAGTGTGAAATGAAGTGTCGAAATAAAGACTCATGTTCCAAATCACATGCTTCTAATAGCCACAGAGATAAGCAAGTCTCCCTATGTACATTGTGCACACGCATATATGTGTCATGTTAAGATCAAAGGCCCAATAAGTGTGAAGGACACTGACATTCTGGCCATTACTAGCAGAGCATTTTCTTTTCTTTTTTTTTTTTTTTTGGTTTTTCGAGACAGGGTTTCTCTGTGGCTTTGGAGGCTGTCCTGGAACTAGCTCTTGTAGACCAGGCTGGCCTCGAACTCACAGAGATCCACCTGCCTCTGCCTCCCAAGTGCTGGGATTAAAGGCGTGAGCCACCAACGCCCAGCTTCAAGCAGAGCATTTTCTACAGACAAGTTTTCCTTCCATATCAAGGAACTGGTACTCCTTCCTGCCATCTGTTTATCCCAGGCCACTCTCCTGAATGAGCTCCACACCACCCTTGAACAGCCCCCAGTGGTACCAAACAAGCTTCCTTCTGGGAGACACCAAGGCACTTTCTTACTCTTCTTGGGCAGAGGATGTTGCTGGCAGATAAAGGTAGAGAGAAGAAAAGATGTTTTGTTGGCGGTCTTTTATTTCCCACCCACCAATTCCCAAATAACCAAAATGAAAACTCAATATTCCTTATAAGTGGTAGGCCAATAGCTTGGGCTTGTTACTACCTAACTCTTACATTTAAATTAACCAATATTTCTTATTTATGCTTTGCCAAATGACTTGGTACCTTTTCTCAGTACAACATACCCATCTTGCTTCTCTCTGTGTCTGCTTAGGACTTATATATGAACTTCCCAGGTTGCTTCTTTCACATCTGGCTTAAGACTTCTCAGACTCTGTCCTTTTTCTTCCCAGAATTCTGTCTGCCCCGAAAATCCTGCCTAGTCATCAGCCAATCAGCTTTTTATTAACAATGAGAGCAACACATTTTCACAGTGTACAGAAGGATTATTTCACAGCAGTGTTTGACTAATATATTGTCACATACACTGACACCTGATTGCTGGGAGAAAGAGAAGTCATGTATTTTAAAAGATTACAAAAAGAAAGGAGCTTAATCTAGACCATATTTTGAGAATACTTAAAAATGTTTCCCAAGATTTTTGGTGGTTAATAAAGGTACGTATGTCTTTAGGAACAAACAGCAAATCTAAAAAAGAAAAAAACAAACTTCTAAGTCTTTGTAGCTTAAAACAGTGGGTGAAAAGTTATTCAGAGACATCTGCATAAAATAAGTCATGCCCATGTTGCTGAATTTGAAGTAAAATCGAGGGATGGAATGGAATAGGGTTAATCAACTTTTGAATTCAACACTAAGAAACTAGTTTAATGATGCTAAATACAAGCAATTAAAGAAAATCTCCATTGAAACCGTTCTTCAGGAAGGTAAAATAACAGAATGTGTGCAAAGTCATAAGGAATCATACTATTAACCAAGGAAAAAACTAATACACATAAGTCTATGTATAAATATGCATACATACATTCACAATTCAATTGAAATTTCCTCATCTAGGTTACTCCCTCCAACAGCCAAACACCACCTAACAAAAATCCAAACACAAGGCATGAGAAGTCCCAAAATATTACAGGCTAATGTGTTGTCCTTGATTGCCCCTCCCAAGAAATGGAAGGTGG